TACCAGAGCAAAGACGGGCGTGAACCCTAGCGAACATTTTCTCTCTAAGGAAGGTCACTGCTGGGCTGGGCCAGCCCTGCACCTGCAGGGGAGCCCATCCCAGAGTCACTGCTGGAGGCCAAATGCCTGAAGCAGTGTGGGAAGATCATGAGCATCAGCTGCCCCATACAGGTCACTCTGCCCCAGCATGGAGAGGGCCATGCGGAGGGTGCTCCAGATGTTGTCAGACATAGCGCCTTGCTGCCCCCGTGGACCTCGGCTCTTCTGCTGCATGTGCAAAGCCTCTAAGAAGTGCTCCACAGCTTCACTGTCAACATGAGAACATACACACGTTTACTGGAGAAGATGGTACATCTCGTACTCCCTCCCCCATTTGCTTCTAAAGTACTTCCCCTCCAATACAGTTTCCTCCTCTTCACCAGATCCTGCCCTGCTCCAGAACCATTGGAGATCCCCCTTTTCCCTCTTAACAGAAACAGAAGTCCTGATGGCCCCTACTCCAACTGCATCTGCATGACACCATTTTCAGGTAGAGTCCACACACTTGCTCTGCTCTCCTATGCCAAGGGAAGGCTGCAGGCAGTGTGGCACTGCCCTAGTAACCTATTGCAGTCTCTCTCCCACAAACACACGAACACTCATGGATCACAGCAGATCTGCCCATCCTGTGCTCACCGATGGGCGCCTAAGTTGATGCAACTGATGCCCAAGTTGTAGCGAGAGCGGATGTATCCTGGCTGGAGCTCCAGTGCCCTACGATATGCAGCCACAGCTTCCTCACTTCGATTCCCATTGGCCAGGGTGGCACCAAGCTTGTTCCACAGAAGATGGTCCTGGAGGAGGGGGCAGAGAGAAAGGGCTGAAATAAACTGGATCTTTTTAAGCTTCAAGCCAACTCTCCCTTCCCCACGTCTGTCTTATTCCTCCACTCCAAAAATGTGCCTCTCATACAAGCAGCACCTCCACCCAACCTTCACCCATTAACCTCCAGCTACCTCCAGCATCCAGTCTGCCCTTTCTTACATTTGGGCGCACACTGAGCGCAGCACTGAAGCAATCCACAGCCTTCTCATACTCGCCACTAAGGTTGAAAAGGACACCCAGGCCACACTGAACATCAGGATCCACAGTTGAGGGGTTGCTGCGTACAGCTGATAAGAACAGCTCTTTCACCTCCATGAACAGCGAGCTGGAAAAGCACAGAGCAAGGATATTAGTGTACTGTGCAGAGAGCTGGCCTTGGATTACTCCCTCTGCTCCTGCCTTGGACCACTCCCAACCCTCCAAGAAGCCTTTCAGCTGAAGGCTGAAACTTGTATCCCTAACTCACTCAGACAGCAGGGAACCTAGGACACGTTTGGAAGGCCCCAGGTTTGTCCCTGAGACGCTCTCCTCCGGTTCCTTCTCCAGCAAGTGGGCATAGTCTGGTTTATGGCGTAGCCAATCCCGCAGGGTCTCACATGCCTGCTTCTGCAAGGACTCATTGGTGAAGCTGACCGCTAAAGCCATAAGTGCCGTGAGGTTCCCAGGCTGCAGTTCCAAGCACCTACAGGTCAAAGAAAGAGAAGTGAATACAGTATTAAATCAGTCTGGGAGACGCCCACATACAGGAGCTAACACAATCAAGGCAGAGCACACTATGGTAGCCATATGGTCCTTGTGGCACTATGCACTAGACAAGGAGCCATGCTCAGAAACTCTTCTGCAACACTCACTGTCTGAGGGCACTGATTGCCAAAAGCTCCTGTTCATTCTCTGCTTGGGTGGTTCCCAGGTACTGCCAGGCCTGGAGAAGATAAAGATGCACAAAGTCAGACTTCTTCAGACCCAGAGAAAAGATGAGCCGATAAACCACTAACGCAGAGACTAAATCCACCATATTATCCCACACATTTTTAGAGTGAGACCAAATATATGCAAGTATACACACTAGCCAGAGGTATAAGTTTCTCTCAAAAGACATGTAGACTTTAGGGCACGTAGGTTCTCAAGGCCAATAAAACTGGTGTTGTTATAGTTAAAAAAGTGAACATCTACCTGGAGAACTATCATAAAGCAACTGTTGGCAGTTTTACACTTTCAAGTCACAGAACCTCCACTTCTAACTGTGGTCAAACTGCAGAGGAAGGAGGAAAAAGCAGATCTCTTATTTCCCAAGAACAAAATTAGCAGTGCTAATAATGAGACCCCCAAGGCAGGCAGCTGTATATACTTGTGCAGTGGTCCACTAGTAAGTGATAATCTTGGGACCATCAGACCTGAGAGCAGAAGCGCTGTTACTTTACTGAATCTTCAATCATCATGACACCAGTACATGAAAACCACTTCCATCTCCAGGCTGTTGGCATAGGGAATATTTAATTAAGGCACTAAATCCAAAGTATCTGTTCACTTTATGTTGATAACCACACCTCTTGCTCAAAAACAGGTTAGATATTTGGCGGGACTGTCAGCATAAAGTACCCGCTTTTTGAACATAAGTCACAAAATGCAGTATCCACTGTCTCAAGGAAGGCAACTGTTTCATTAGCAAAGACCTAGACACACTGCACATGCCACCACAAGCAAGAGGCAATCTACTGTCTCAAATCTCTAGTGCCTCACCATACAGCTAACCACAACTCAAGAAGTGCTGACCAGTGATGACTGCCTAGTGTTCTGTAGGCAGAAAAGGCAAGATTCAAGGTGAAGCTGTGATTTGGACCAAAGCAACCATGACATTTCCTTCAGAGCAATTGTTAAGTCTATTTGATCACTGTACTATTTGTGAAGTCTTGACTTTTCCTGTACTTTCTGCAGAGTCACAGTAGAAGAATTCAGAATGTTTTCAATACAGCTAGCCAGATCTGGCCCAACATTTCTTCCCCTAAGGTTTCAACTACCTCTCTACCTCAACTACCTTTATGCTCAGCCTGGAGCCCACACTGCCTAGGAGAAGAGAGTGCCAATTCTAAAGGAATATTAGCAACATCTTTTGATCATTTTAAAGCTAATGTAGATCTCCAAAACCTCTGCTTATTTTTCACCTACTCCCAGTACCCTAGAAAGTTAGCTGCCTGTAGTCCCAGAGGCCAAGAACGTCTATTCCAAGAAGTCACTCTCATCTAAGCCTCAGGATTAACAAATTAGGTGTTTCCAATCATATACAACTAGCAGGGCTTGAATCAGACACACTGAGAATTCAGCATCCCCAGATCCTTGAGGCAGGCACTCCAGAAACAGACAACATGGGTGTATTTACATCCTTCCTATTCCTCCTGAGAATATCCACGTCCTCTACCTCTGAAAAAAGGCATACAGACTATTCCATTTCTCAATCCATCCTGCAGAAGCTGAAGTGCTTCATAGAAATACGTATTCACTAGATTAGGAGCTGGAAACTTCTCTTCAGTATAAAAAACATCCTCTGGCCCACAGCTTCAAATGAAGACTGCAAAGACACCCAAGCCATCTCTCTCAACGCTTTTGGGTTACATCTTCTCCTGGAATCTAGATGGAAGTCCTAACTAGGACCCCTAGTCTAATGAGCTGTTCAGAATTAGTCTTTAAGACAGACATTGAAAGCAGTTCTTCATCTGCCATAAGCACCTATAAACGTGCAATGACAAAGATTTCCACAGAAGCAATTTAAGAGATAAGAACTCCTTGTCTTGGCTTCATGCATAGTCTCATGTGCTCCAAAGCTTTTATACAGCTCTGGGCCAGAGCCTTTGTGCTTTTTGTAATCAAAACCTCCTTGCCCACAGCCTGCCTGGGGATTCACATACATCAGCTACAAACCCAGAGCCACAGAAAAACGGTATGTTTTCATACACCCTGCAGAGCTCCTAACACTGAAGTGAGTTTTCTACACACACCTCGACACCTTACAAGGCAAGGATCCAAGTAACAGGACACCTGGCCAAGGCCTGTTATCTCTGCTCTCACTCACCTCCATATGATCTGGCTTCTGTTGCACTGCAGCCTCGAAGAGCAAGACAGCATTGGGAAGGTCACCTTCCTCCAAGCGCTTCCGCCCCTCTTCAAAAGCATCCGGGTGATCTCTCATGGGATTATCTTCCTCAAACTGGTAACCCTAGCAGGGAAGACAGACGGGGCTAATGCAAGGAGACAGGCTTAGAGAGAGAAGCACTCTGTACAGTACAGCACAGTCTAGTCTTACTGCATCAGAAACATGCAAACTAGAGACCAGCCTGCACCTCCTCCTCTCTGCTAATTTGTAGCAGATCAGAGAAAAATGGCTCTTCTGCCTGCCTGCTCTGTGCTGAAAAATTTCCCAAAACAGACCTGGAATAAGTTGCCACAAAGACTAAACATCTGGTGTGCGCCCTATCTGCCTGGGGCGGCGGGCAACAACACTTGCACTCATTGCGAAGAATCCCAGCTTTAACTGGTATTTGGTGTTGGACAAGAACTAGACAGTAGTTGCAAACAAGCACAAGTGAAAATAGTATTAATTTAACCCCTAGCTGATCTGGTATGAGGGAGCAAGTGACAGCAAAAGACCAGTGTGAGAAGGAATCCTAGCAGCATTTGAGGTCTGCAGAGTTCACCTGCAAGGCAAACATACTGCCAGTCTCCTCAAGGCAGTCCATCACAGTGCTATGGCTCAGAGACCCAGTTCTCTATTACCTTGTCATATGATGAGGAGCTGAGGTCTTCATAATCAGAGAGCCAAGGGTGAGCCTCCGCATCTCTCTTTGCCATCTCCTCCCATTCTGCCTGGAGTTTGTCCCAGAAGTCCACATCTGACTGAAGGGAGAACAGAATGTCACTAGAATACCTCAACCATAAACTGAGCTCTACAGACACCCCAGAGAACACCCTCTTAAATGTTTCTAGCCCTCCTCACAGCACGCAAAGGAGGGAGGTAACCCTACCATGGGCTCTCAGCGGGTACCCCAGCCCTCCTCCTCCATCAGCTTTACCTCCACAGCAGTCTTTGCCTGCTCAAATTCCGTATCAAGAGCTGACATGTTCCCAGATCGTGCAAATTGATCCACCCAGGCATCAGATGTCCCCTGGGAGTTTGGAAACAGAAACACACCTTTCTTTTTAGAATTTAGCAACCTCAGGGCACATCCCAAAACAGCAGGAGGGTCTATGATGACCCTTCTTCCCCATCAGCAAGAACTGATGGCCTGTAAAGTGGAAAAGAGTTCATTCGGATACCCCCTTCCCCTCCCAGGTGCTACAAGAGATGAGAAAACTCACGCTGCCCAAATACCTTCCCAGCTTCTGGCTAGACTCCACTGAAAAGAACCCAATAGCCCCTCCCTCACCTCCCCCAGCCTAGTCATTACTAGAGCATTGCTGAGAGTTGCACTTGCCATTCTCCCTTCCTCCCAGACTGGGCACTGTGGCAAAAAGCTTTTCTCCTTCAGAGCGCATAGGGCTGGGCCTCCTACCTGCTGCTGTATAAACTCAGCTGCCCATTGCTCTGCCTGATCTTGGTCTCTGTGGGTCACATGATTAGCTTCAATCGATACCCTCCCATCTCCAATCTGGCGGACAAACTTTAGGAACTGTGACAGAGAAATGAAACAAGCGTGGAGCTGGGCAGATGCTTTGCCAGCAAGCCCTCTTGCCCATGCCCCCCTCCTTCACTAAAAGGACTTCTCTCTGCAAAGTGAGCACAAAAGGCCCGAAAAGGTGGGGAGGACAGGACTTCACCAGTCATGTGGTAGAGATGGATAATATCTAGAGTGGACTGTAGGGTTCAACTTCTAGGAATCAGGGACAAAACGGAAACAGAGGACAGCAGGAGGCTTTATTCCTTTACTGTCTTCCCCCTTCTCAATTCCCCACACCCCTTATTCCCACTAGGTATCTGTCAGCCCCAGTCAGGGAATTTCTTACCTCAGAATTCTTGAGTTTTGGATCATCCACTTTAGAGAGGAAATCACCAACAGTTTTCTTAAGATCATCCTCAGGTTGATATTCCTCATACCTGTGTTCAGAGGCAGTAAAAG